CAGTCACTGGAACAATATTATGCTTGTAAAATTTGTAATATTTTATATGACATACAATGCAGTGCAAGGGAAACAAATAGCTAGAAAAAGAGCTCTCAGAAATGGCTTTATAATTTGTTTTATTTAAAAAAAAGACGTTAACATTCCATTTCAATTTTTTTTTCATAAAATGTAATTTTTAAATATAATGAAATCTACTTGAAGAGTAGCAATGTTTAAAATTCTTGATTTTCTCTAAGAAGTTATTATTATGCCTTATGATGCTGACAGTTCTGTAACCTATTCCTCCATCAGACTATGAAGTGAGTAGAGGGGTCACTTCTCTTCAGTGCTGTAGCTCTCAGCTGTGACACTTCTCCCCATGCACATTTTACCCTCCCTGACTGTTTACAACCCAATATCCCTCAGGGCTTTAATCACTGTTTTAGTGCCGTTTTTCCCAGTGCCTCTTGCAGCATCACTGGCATGCTTGCTATACGGGATATCCATATTAAGACCCACAACAGAGCCTGAAGATAAACCATATTCTTTGCTCATTGTCCTTTTATGCTGGAGAGAATAGCAATATAAACATATCCAGTTTGCTGGTACTGTGTGCCAAGGCACATGGTCCTGTGAAGGGGCTCTCTGCAAGGCCTCTGGGTTAAGCCCCTGTCTGGTTTCTGTTGTGTGGTAATGATTGCTGCTTGACAGCTTGAAGGAAGCTACCCTGCAGTCTGAGGGAGCAGATTAAGTATTTGTTTCTAGAAGTCTCTAGAAAATCCCCCTATGCATACTAGTGCCTGAGGCTTTTCATGGTTTAAGGCAGCAGTTCACAGGAGTTGTCATAACAAGAATAAGAATAATATGCCAGAAAAGTGAGCTTCCATTTATAGTGAGTGCTGCTGCGCACAGTCTGCCTGCCCTGCATGTGACCTGCCATTACTCAGTGTCACCGTGTCCAGCTCCATGTTGATACAGCATGCGGTTCCCTGGCTGGGGGCTACGAAACAATTTCACTTAAGTAATGCAAGGAGTATGAAGTGGGATCATTTGTTGTCTTTCCCAAAACAAGATCTAGGGGACAAAAGGTAAGTGCAGGAAGGATGAGTTCAAAAGATGAAAAAGAAAACAACAAAAAAAAATCCAACCCAACCAACAAAAGGAGGAAGTTTTTCATATAGCAGACTTTCAAGTGTGAAAATCCTTATTGATGGTTGTGGTGGATGACAAGAATGTATGGAGTTCAGAAAATGCATAAAGTTGTGCTAAATGCAACAATGACTTGGGGTGGCTATGAGGGCTTTTGAAGGAAGCTTCAATTGAGTTTTTCATATTTGTGTTGTCTTTTGCATAGTTTGGTACTTATGTGACAAACATAATATTGAGCTTTGAAGACCTTTGATCTGACCACATATATACGCTTTTGTTTTTACCTTAGATGAGAGATTATTAGTCTTATGCCTTAGTTTCAGCTGGGAAGGAATTGTTTTTTTTCAGAGTGTCTGATATGACGCTATGTTTTGGTTCTAGAGAAATTAACACCGTGGCCAGCACAAAATTACCACATCTTAAAATCCTGCCTAACTGTTCTTTCAGGGTATTTGAACCAAAGTAAAATCTGTGCCATATAAATATTTCAGCGCACAGGAGCAAGAGGGAATCTGAACTACTTTTTTTTCCTCCAGTGCTTGCCTAAGCAGTGTTTCCACGAATGTTTTTAGAGGCATAAAATAATCTCACTGAAATGTGTATAAGAAAATAATCTGACCTTGTCATCCTTATGTCTGGAGTCATACTGACATATCTATTTCATATAACATTGTAGGTTTACTTTGGGTTGCAGAGGTGATGAAATTGCTGGTGGAAAATGGAAAAAATCAAGGGAATTAGGAAAAAAAAAATAATTCATCCTTATGTTTTAATATGCAAGAGATGCAATACCAGTAGAGTGGATAAAAACATCTTGGATAAAGATGAATAGCAGTATTTTACATTGCAGGGATTTTGCTCTTCTATTTTTTTTTTCCCTGATCATGTAACTACCTATCATATAAAAATTTTAAGCTTCATAATTTGGTATCTGCACATCTTTTAAGACATTTGGTATCTGCTTCCAGAGATTTTTAAAATATTATGTCTTCAAAGACCTATCAGAAACAACTTTTTTTTTTTTTTTTTTTCTGTCCTGATCGTCTTGGAAAAGATCAAATGCTCAGCTAATGAATGGATTAGTGCTTTTTCTCGCTGCTTTATGAGTTCAGAT